CCCAAAGCCATAATGTCTCAAAACGAGGAGGCCTCGTAGTAAGCCCAAGCTTCTGATCCATTCTGATCCTGGTTTTGCCAACGTAAATTAAATTACAGATTCGATTCGTTAACCTTTAAAATATACCCCTTTGAAAATTTAAGAACTATAAATTCCAAAAAAAGAAATTTATAATTTATGCTAATCGAAATATATGTTTCAATCACTTAGTACTAAGAAATTGAGCTAAAAGTTTAACCATACAAAATAATTATCTCTCGTGAACACAACTCAAGCGGATACGACACATATTATTATTTCTAATATCGATGGTTCATTCCTCCATTCATAAATAATAATAACAATAATAATAAAAGAAATAAAAACTCCCCCCTAGTCAAATAAGAAAAAAAAGAAGGAAGGAAAAGTTAGAGTTATTTTTTATTATTATTATTTTTAGTACAGTAATTTGGGGATATGGAAAATCAAACTTTTGACTTCGAGGAGTATATGCTAATTACTAATTACTAGCTGAGCTATATGTTCAGTGCAATTACTTTCTAAATATCTTTATTATTATTTTTTTCTTTTCACTCCTTGTAATGATGGCTTGAYCAATTCACGGTGATTGGTGTTTTGAATTATCTACCAATTCCATTCCATTAGTATCGGAAATACTTTATATACATGCTATTTTGGATTTTTTTTTCTAGTTTGAGTAAGTTAATTGTCCAACCGCTAACATAAGCATAGTTTAGTGATCAAGACATATTGCTTCTTTAGTGGCCCGAGCTCATTTTTGTCTCACACGAGAGTGCCACATGTTTATACTTTATTTTACTCGTTACAAACATTAATGACTTTACCATACAATTCCTAATACTAAAAAGATAAAATTCCTAATACTACCATGATAATATAATAACTCATGTATTAATTTTAATCATAATGTATATTTCCAACCAAACCTAAAGTCCATTCAATTAAATGTAATAATGGGGTTGTTCAAGTTAGAGTTATTCTAGAAGAATTTAATGAAGCTTTCATTTGTTGTTAAAAGAATAGCAAAAAGGAAAGGGCAAGGTTTTATTCTAAAGAACATGATGCTTGGAGTTGCCTCTTTTAGTTGCCAAAGTATATATCCCAATAAATACAATTTATTTCATTGTCAAATAATCTTCTTTTATATACTTTTTTCTTTAAAACATTTGTCCCTTGTCCCAATCAATTTACACAAATTAATATTATGGAATAACTCTTCATCTCATAATATCTTTTAATAATCTTACCATCCCACTCTAATATTTTTTAAGATATGAGTTTTCTTTTTTATTTTTCCTTAAATTGAGGTTCTGAACCAACACTGAAATAGAACAAATTTTAAACAAAAATTTAGTACAACATATGGGGTTAGGATATCGAATTCACAATCGGAAATATATGTCGATTACCACTGAACTTTTGGAAGAAAAAATTTAGAATTTTGTGTGGAGATTTCATTGATTTAAAATTATATTTGATTTAGATAATTGACACATGTCTCCAACCAATAGTTTAATGCTCATGTAAATAATAATTTTTTAATATAACAATTTAAAAATACGAGAGATCAAACTTTTTAGAAAGAAAGAGTACATGTCAAATATTATTGAGTTACAGTCACATTGAATTTAAATAACATTATTATTATTATTATTATTATTTCTTAATTTTATACCAAAGATTGAGAGAGAGAAAATTTGGTTAAATAGGAAGTGATGACAAGCCTCGTAAGAAAGCAATGTGGATATATATATCCTTTTTTTTGTTTGGCCATTTAAGAATGTGACAAGAATTCTTAAATGTAAAAAAACTAATAATAATAAATAAATGATTATTTTTTCTATAATCAAAAGAAATCCCTCGTTAAAATCCATCGATTGCTTGGAAAACAGCTCTGGACTGAAACACAAGGCCCCCTTCTGTGGCTCTATCGCCACGCTACCCAGTATCAGAGACAAACCCACGCGCTCCCACGCGCCTCTCTCTCTCTGTAAAGCCGCTAAAAGAAAAACCGCCTTCCCATTCCTCTCCCCGTCTGTCGTTTTTCTTATATCTAAAAAGAAACCGAAAGGGGGAAAAAGGAAACAAAAATAAAAATGAAGGAAAACCTATACAGGACACCCTCACTCTCTCTCTCTCTCGGTTTTCACCTCCTTTCTCTCTCTACGATGCTTGTTCACTGATGGTTGGCTGCCAAATCGAGCGACCCATCGTATTATTTCCTCCCATTTTAGAGAAATTTTTGTTCACAAAAACCATTTTCCACTTTTTCTCTATGTTATTTAACGCTTGAATGAAAGTGGGGGTTGCTCTGTTTCTCGTTTGTTTCCTTCTTTTTCACCATTAGACTTGAATCTGAGGTTTCTCCATCGAATCCAGCGTTACCCATTCTCCGGTGACCGCCGAGGACCCGTTTTTCAAGGTTTGTTCGTGATGGGTGTTGGCATCAGGGCCTAATTTTCTCTTTTCTGATTGTTTTTTTTGCCTTTTTTCTTGATCTGGGTTCGGTTTATAATCTCTGTATTTTCTCATTTTTTGCTGATGGGTGTGTT